AGCGAATAGCTTCATCTTTGCAGGTCACGACAATGTCGACCACACTCATCTTCATTATCAGATGCAATGCAACCATATTCTCCACATCTTCATCAGTGCCCAATGTCACATACAATCTTTCCCGAGGAGCCAAGTATTGGAGGATCAGTGCATCTGGATGGATATGATTCCATTTGTTGATAATAGCACCATATATCTCCATTAATGTCGAATTACTTTTTATGGAAATAATGTGAAGTTGATTTTTGTATCGACAACTTCCAAGAATCACACTGGGTACATCGTTAGATACATCATTTGTAGCCATTGTGGGGTGGGTGGGTTTTACAGTGATTTTTTCGCCGGAAAAAAGGGGAAACCAGAGGAGAGAAATGGAGAAGAAATAGAGAAGAAAGAAAGCAGATAGAAATGAAGAGAGAGAAGAAAGAAAGAGAAGATGAAGAGAGAGAAAAGCAGGAGAGAGAAAAGGGTGAGAGTGAGAAGAAAATATAATAAAATATATAAAATTCACATTAGGGACTGATCTGCATGTTAGGCGTGTGAGTAGGGACTGAAATGCTAGGGCAAACTACCTAGGGACTGATCTGTGTTTCAAGTTTTGGATTAGGGATTTATCTGTAGTTTCCCCAAAGAACAATTCACTTAAAAATGATAAATCACTTATTTTTTGTCAAGTGGGATAAATTCAAATAACCCCACCACCACGGCACAAAGCCACCAACACAGACGATGACATCATCAACTGATTTAATTATTATTTTGCTGACGTATGCCAATGGAAGCATGTAGGCACGAAATCACCACATCGCACATTAATTATTCTAATTACCGTTAATACTAATTAATTAATTCGAAATTTAGTGTTGTCATTTACAAAATTTAGTAGCTTGTTTGAGCTTGTAACGAATCAAACTAAAACATATATTTCTGTTTGATAAGATATGAAATATATGTAAAAAAAATCAAAATACGCGATCTGGTTTCGTGTTCGACTAGACTACAAAAGTTTCAAGCTCAGCTTGATTTACCATCAAACAAACTCAAACACGACTCGACTCGACTCGACTCAATTCATTGACATTTCTAACAGTCAATAATTAATAAACTATATAGCATCTCAAATATATATAGAATGCATCCTACTGTATATATACAGATAGATTTCGATGTTTTCTTAAGCTGGCATATGAGTTGTAATTAATAAACCAAATCACTGATTACAACAATAAGTATTTTTTAATTATACTAAAAAATATTTTATGTAATTTAATCAATAATATTATGGGGGGTTTAGGAAAAAAAGTCAAACCTAATTATAAAAATAAATAAATAAATCAACAAAAAGAAGATCAAGAAGAAGAAGAAGATAGCTAGTGGATAATGTGTAGGCAGAAAGATAAAACAATTAAGTCAAAAATGTCAGTTGTAGATTAAGAGGTATTAATATATTGTTTTTATTTTCTCTTTCATTTGACAAATTGGTTAAAAAATAAATTAGGGTTCATATATGAGAGGGATTAGTTTATTGGTAAACCACATGCTTTGAATTAAGGGTGTACCTAGATTCTAATCTAGTTTGATAATTAATTATTAAAGTATATTTATAGTATATGTATATCAAGTGTATTTCCTTTTTTAATGAATTAGTTGTCGACATTATTACATGGTTAAGGTAGGAGGAGACAACTAATTTCTTGTCTTATTTTTCAGTGTCATTTCAAACATACCTAGCTAGATAAGGCGGGAGCATCGATATTTGGGCCCGAATGGTGGGGCCCACTAAACAGATACTACAGTTCATCATCGTCGATCTCTCATTAATATCTTCAACTCTAATTCTATCGAGCTCCATCACATTAGATAATGAGTGATCCTAAATCGACCGCGTTCAATTGAACCCGAGCACGACCAAATGTACATTGGGATCAAATTCTCCCTTTTGATCGTCCGTTCCATTGCGGGCCCCATTGGCTCACCGTCTTGCTGCACCGTGCGCACATCCATGTTATAACAACTATAGGCACCATTACTCCTCCAACAGTTGACCTTTGACTTTGACTTCTGACGAAATCAAGTGCTTCGAGTTCGAACGTGTGGGTTTCCTTTTCGGTTATCCAATACGCCTCCAGTCGGTAACACACGTTATAGTTAATCTCCTAGACCGTAATGTACACTCCAACATCATACACTACACCTTCGAATTTCTCCGAGTTCATGATTGAATCTCGACCGTCCGTTGTTTCATGATAAAGTTATATCACATAGAACTAAAATCTCTCACTCGCTCTCTCTCTAAATTCACGAAGAGGGTGCCAAATCTCACAAAGTAAAAAGATTTACGGTTTAGGTCAAAATTAGGGTTCTTATCCGTGTCTTAACCGCCTCCACTTAGTTCTTCCCTAGGACTCGAATTAATAGTAGCCGGTGAAGGTACCACCAGAGGGTCAAACTCTCCCATATACGACGACGTTTGACCCACGGTTGACTGAGTCTCAGAAAAGAGTGACGCAGTTCGTAAGTTTTCAAATGAGAGAGAAGAGGTGAGGGATAGAGCGTACAAAGGTGCAAAACCGAACAAACTTTAAATTCAAAATACTGATTCAATTGAAAATAACCACCAAATAAGCACACATACACATAGGTGTGTGTGTGATTATGTTCATATCAAGAATTAATAATCCTCCAGTGTGTTTCACCGGGTGTAAAATCAAATAAACCGTCTTAAAAACCAATAGTTCAAATATTTAATCCAAATTCCTGCTGAAATATCTCAAAGAATCCATTAACTGCATTCCGCATAAATTGAAATCCCGATAATCCCATTTTCAGGCACGAAAAACGAAGAATGAACCTTATTAATCACCCAAAATAATTCTGTAATTTGGCGAGCATTTGGCGAGCAGCAGATTCCTTTGCTTCACATGGTTTGGACTCGACACCACCCTTTGAATGGAACTTAAAATCTTTTCCTTCAACCGTCACATACGAAACAAATTTACCTGAAAAAGAAATTGCAATTTTCCATATTAATTGAAAATTACGTATTTAATCCGAGACTTCGTAAACTTATAAAATGAATAAAAAAAAATCGAGAATCGATTGAAATGTCTTACCGAGTGATGACGGTTCTATAAGATACCTCGGCAGTCGCCAGTTATTCTTGAGACATGTATACTCCAAGTCCTGCCACGTAGATTTTTTTCCGTTATAACTATGTATTAAATAAATAATATAATCAAAGAGGGAAGCATTTCGTTCCGTTTTTTGATTTGAATGATTTGATATCGAAAGTATACATTGAACGAATAGAGACAAACGAGTTTATATTGATTATAGAAACCTAATAATACTACCATAAATATAACAATACGTACACTTGCATGCAGTAAATCTCGTCGTTTAATTGCAAAATGGTCAATTAATTTTCAGAACGACTTACTGGAATAAGTTAATCATCGTGTAATTTTATTGAGAAATAAGAATCGAGATTATCGCATGAATCTCCATATAAAGAAACAAGAAACTCACTTGACACGGAGATTTCCCAGGAAAATAATTTTCCGGTAATCTGATTTTCTCCTTGTCCAGCTTTTGCGTCGGATTACGGTTTCCACTTGCGATAGATTTGACGATTTCACGAGCTAAACCAATGTCACCACCTAAACAAAAAAATAAAATAAAATAAAAAATAATAAGACATTAGAATTTTAATTGTAATAGAATTATTTACATAATTACGATAATACCATCTCGGATTCTTGCGATGTTATCTTCATATAAAGCAAGTGTTTCTTCCATGCTGCAAATCCGAGAGTACTGCCAATACAAGTATAGTTATTGCATGCAGTTACGCGTTTTAAATCTTACGGGGCAGGGGGCTGTGGCCCCCCTCAAGTTTAAAACTTTAAAGAGTTATAATTACCTGTTGTTGTCTTTTCCTCTGAAGAAGTGCCAATGCATTCTCCAATTCCTCTTCGGTTTCAGAAAAACCATTTCCATTGTACGGGATAGTGACATCATCACCCACGCCTCGAGATACCTTCTCATGCGTATTTTTACCAATGATTTTTTGTTAAATAAAGAATATTGCAAATATGTGATAACATCTTTAAAAAGGATATTTAAATATCGTCCATCGTGTAAACGAGAAAGAATTGCCTTACCCTCACATTTGCATATGAATTGTTATTTCTCGTAACTTCGCCAAATTCATCGAGCTCGATTTTGATTGCCTCCTTTTTAACAAATCGCCCATTGCTGCGAGTTCCGTTCAAATTCACAATTACATCAACGTTTATTATCGAAGGTTGTTTGTTGTCATTTTCTCGATTTACGAGATTCCTGCTTCCTCTGTTTTCAGAAAAATCGAAATTTACGTACACGTATGGATACATTTATATAACTTAAAAAAAAAAACATTCAAACTACAACATAGTTCGTACGAACGAGGCATACGTCAAATTAAATGATTAAAGAATTCACTAGCTTCCACATAGACCATTTATGGTAAGATTAATAATACGCACGTAATTTATTATACGAAGACAGATAATAACATATTAATATTATATATATAATTCATACCCCGAAAACCAGCTCGAAATAAATGATATATAAGGAAGCATGTGATGAACTTTAGCCACTGGTGTCGTTTTCCACAAACCAAATGCTGCCTTTTTTACTACAGGTCCTTCCAATCTGATTAAGACAATGCAGTTTTATTTCGTTAATTATCGACACTTATTTAATCATTTAAAAAAGAATCTACAAAAGCCGGCTATAAATTATACCTCTCGACGACAACTTTAATCGGAACTGGCTCGTTTATGACATACGACCCTACGCATCGCATTATATAAAAGCAAGCTGCCGCCTTTTTTTCGGTTAAAGAATACGTCAAATGCTTCTTCAAAATCTCAAGCTCGGAACTTTCTATACCTATTTCAAGAAACGAAGAAGCATGTGAAAATGACTGTTTTACCCCTGAATATAAACGAAATGTACGTAAATATGACGTACCGGTGGTCTCCTTCACAGAATCATAAGCGACCTGAAGATATTCGGAATCGGAACTTGATGATGCGTTTAGCTTCCTCTTAACGCGGAGCATTTCTTGATTGATTGTAGCTTCCAAAAGCATGCAATTTTCGTTTCCCGAATCGATCAGCACAATGGCGATCTCGTAAATTGGCCATTCTTTCACGTTGGGGAAATCACGTGATGCGTCTAGGCATGCAGCGATTTCGCACGCGTGTTGAACTGCCTTTTCGGTTATTGAAAGCTCGTTCTCTTCGGCAGTGTTCGACTCCGTTGGTTCGATTTTGATTATCGATTTCATGAATGCAATTAGAGGTGGTCTTATTACAACAGCCAGCTTGCAGAAATTCAGTAAATCGAGAAACGGTAGGCCGGCGTTCTGCTTTCTGTGGTGGTAATTGTACAGCAAAACAACTGCATGCATCTACGTAACGACAAAAGGAAAATAAATAAATGAAATCGACTCGAATTTAAAGTTATATGACACGAGACGCAAAATAAGAATCGGACAGAATTTAACATTCTTGATCAATCTTATACTTATTATTGTTATTAGCTTAGCAAAATGAAGTAGACAACAAAAATCGACAAAGACCTGTTTGGCAACCGAATTTTGGATCGTTTCCGAAGGAGGGACGTTGGAGAATCTCAAAGGCAAGAGAGGATCAACCAAAGTCTCGAGCAACGCTTGCACGACGTCCTCTGTGGGGCCCACCACATATGATTGCTCAACTTTAGCTGCTAATTCCATTGCAATGATTTCTGTAAATACAAACAATTAAACAAACACCTCAAATAAAATTAAAAAAAAAAAAAAAAAACATGAAAAAATGGAGAGAAAATAAGTAAGTGCCTTCAAGAATGAATTTTTATTTATTTTTATAAATGGACTAATAACATACAGATGGAATCGAACATAGAACCTCCGATCAGAAAAATGGCGGACAAGCATTCTAATTAAAACAGCAGATCAGCAGATTTAAAGATCATAACTTTATAAGGAACCCATAAAAATAGGGGGCCCTAGCTTAAAAAAAATTACAGATAACAAAAGACAAAAAAAAAAAAAGAAAAAACCTGCGGTATGTTGTGGTCCTTGTTTTTCTTATGTTCGAATCCAAAGAAAAACAAGGACACAGCAAACATGCACGAACAAGAACAAAACACACATAACGGAACAAAACAACAACACCATTTAACAAAAAAAAAACACGAGATCGAATTTAAAATAAAAAATGCATAAGAAAATGGGATTTACCAATCGAATCTCGCACGTTAAGGAGGTGGCAAATGAATGTCTCTCTCTCTCTCTCTCTCTCTCTCTCTCTCTCTCTCTCTCTCTCTCTGTGATATGGATTTTCTTGAAAAGGGGCGAGTGAGGGAGGTTTTATCTGTTGGGGATAGGGTGTTGCTTAAAAGCGGACAATGAGCAATTTGCCAGTGATGCTGAGGTAAAGTGACTTATAATTGTTTATTAATTAATTATATATATGACTAGGTTTGATTTGTTTAAGGTTGTTCACTCCTATAAAACGGTTCGACTTCTGCTGTTGACTTTCACTTCAGACTTGACTTCAAATCAACAATTATTTTTTAAATGAAAGAAGTATTAAATAAATAATTGTCTTGGACTGTTGGACACCGTCTTTATTTTTATTTATTTATTATTGTAGAATGGAATGCTATATTTAATTGAAAATGAAAATAATTCAATTTAACTTGGGCCAAAACTTTAAGCCCACGAATAGTACAAAATTTGCATTTGGGCTCTTCAAATTATAAATCAATATCATGCTGTAAGCATGCCTATAACTATTTTTAGTGAAAATTTATTAATTTGCCATTCAAATTATACATTTTTTAACACTTCGCCACCCAATTAATGTGTTCTTTTTTTTTTTTTATATCACTTTGGGGTAAATTAAACGGAGATCGAATGGGAACACAGGGTAGAACTCTGGACGCGGGTAATAATGCGATCAAATAAGACAAACATTTGAGTGAGTCACGAAACCTGCAAACCTAAAGTACGTGAACTAAGTCGGGGTTGATTTGACAAAAGCTCATCCGACGCTCAAGTCAGATACTTGGACAATGAGACAGATAGAGAGATAGAACTCAAGAGATTATTTTGAAAATACATTTTACCATGAGCTTGAGGCCTCTTTTTGATGCTTAATTAGTGGTATAATCATAATTAAATTATATAACTTTATTTAAAACTAGAGTATAACTCTAGTTAGATCTTAATCAATATGTTGGGGCCAAACACTTGATTGAGAGACTTGTTGGAGGAATTTGAAATCCATAATAACAAATCCCTTGGATTTGTTTGGATTGAGGGATTTGGGGATGAATTTCAAATCAACACCCCACTTTTTAGTTATTTTCTGAGTAATTAAGATGGATTTCCAATGACTCCAAATTTCAAATCCCTTCATCCAAACAAACTCTTAAATTTTGGGCCCTTAGCTGCAACTCAGTACACATAGATATTTAATGGGCCTACTATTAGGCCCAATTAGGAGTATCACACTTGTTCAATCAAAGTAACACAAGATTTGTGTGGGACCATGAACGATCAATTTGCAACGAATTTGAACCTTTTATTCTTCAGATATTTATCGTCAATAAATTTGATCTTTATTGGTGAGACACTACCCTTATAGAGATGTTGTACATGAGTGTCAAATATGTTGCATTGAAATTCGAATTTGGGTCATTTAATTTCGTTCTTTACTGCACCCATCAACCATAAGTGGAGTCAGAATTTTAGTTTTTGGGAGCCGAATGCATTAAAACTTTTATGAAAAGAGCCAATAATATTTAATTATATACACAAATTGTTTTAATTATTTACATAAAAAAATAGAGATTCGAGAATTACTGATAGGGGATGGCCTCGAGCCCTATACTGGCTCCGCCACTGCAGCGACCAACTAGACGTGGAACAAATTTTAATGTGCTTTAGAACTTTGAATTGCTTCACTAAAAAAAACACACACACACACACACACACACAAAAAAAAAAAAAAAAAAAAACCAAAGAAAAGAGAAAAGGGAAAGAAGTTTGAATTGGTATTGGGTATTGAAGAAATGTGTCAAAAAGTAAACACCCTAGTCTCGACGAAATTGATAAAAATAGTAAGAAACACCTTCTTAGAAAGTTTGACAGTCATATTATTATTACCTAAAATCCTCAACTACAACATACTCTTGCATTAAGCATCAACATTCATAACAAACAACCGACAATTCCAACAACAAAACAGATGCACAAACTACTTCTCTAACATGAGAGAGTGAGAGATCTAGAGAGAGAGAGAGAGAAGTTAATTAATTGTGTCAACATTTCTGTAAATGTGTTGTTTTGTGATGATTAAAATATCCATTATTGTTTCTCATCAACCAAAATCTCTCAATCTCCTCTGCTTTTCTCCCTGGAACTCTTCCAGCTATCAATGCCCACCTTCATAATTAATTAACAATTTCATACTCAAACTTTTTACTACAAACATATGTATAATATATATATATATATATATATAGACATGAAATATGAATGATCCTTACTTGTCTCCGACAAGTTTGTGCATTCGTATAATGATGTCTTCTTCTTGCGCAGTCATTTCGATCAACTCCCATTCGACACTGCTCACTTCTGCACTCACCAAAAAAAACACCCACAAATTCAAAACCCAAGTGTAAGAAAGAAAAGAGATCAAAATTCAACAAGACAAATAAAAAACCATACCTTCAAAGAAACAATTAGAATCTTGAATCTTGGGATGCTTTTGCCTATACTTATCCATGAGAGTGAGCGATATTTTTTAAATTATGGGAATAAAAAAAAAGATTGATTGATGAAAGTGAAGTGGCTATAATAATAAGACCCCATATATGTATATATACTATATTATACATATATATATATATATAGTGAATGTATAAAAGTAGACATAGTTGTGTAGGAATGAAAGGGTAACTGATGGTCTGGTCCAACCAAACTAATTTCCAACGTTTGACCAATAGGTGCTCACCATATCATAAATAGTTGCAATTACCTAGCTACCACCTATATTTGTTTCTAATTAAATTATCTTACTACTTTCCAAATTTTATTTTGTGTATGATTTACAAATTACAATTTATTTTTTTCACATTTAATTTATATTAGAGAGTGCCCTCAAAAAGTAAAGAAAATTAAAGGGTTTATTCAATATTATATACCTGATGAAGTACATCGCGTTGTGGTAGAGTCAGCATAAAAAATCGTGTATAATAGCATTAACGACTGTCCCTAATTTTTTTTTAATATATTCAGTCCTCCTGAATTTAAAATTTTGGCTCAGCACACATCATTGGTGCCGGTGTATAAATGAATAATAGATTTTTACCCAATGAGTACAAAATCATGAGATCGGAGTAAGAATAAATGTAATGAAGGGAGTAAATATTATAATGAAGTGTGTATATATTTATGGAGATAAAATGGGGCCAATAAATTTTACTTATTTTGAATGAAATGGACGTCAATCATATCCACTTATCCACAGTTGTCTAGTGATTAATAATTTGGATAACCACGGCTGTAGGAAAATGACAAGGAATTAATGTTTATTAAGTATGAATATGGGAAATTAAACATGTCATATTTCAAGATTCCAACTTGTAAGTTTATCTAATCAAAATAAAAAATAAAAAAATTATTTTAAAGTAGTTAATTCGAATTGTATATTACAAGTTGTAAATGGTGCTACCAAAGGACAAAATGGTGGACAGTGTTTAATTGTGGTTTGGTGAAGAAAATGAGTTGAGAAGAGACTAACTGCCGACAAGGTGGAGAGTCTCTTTTCCCATTTGCTCATTGCTCTTATGAATGATATTATATAATTAATGGTTGCAATAAACCATAAATTCAGCAGGGTGGGGGTGGGGGGGGGGGGGTGTTAAAAAGGAACAATTCGGACACAATTACAGAAGTTAATGCAGTTGAGGTAATAAGGAGTTTGAGTTACAAGGTTTGATGCTTACTATGTAATGAATTAAAAAGGGGCAAAAGTTAGTCACCCGAATCGAGACAGCCTTGTTGCATTGTAAATGTCAGTGCAACGGTCTCGTTCACCCCCAAGGCCGCCCTTTCCCGCCAATTCTCCGGGCCAGCTCGAAATCCTTTTTCACTGACAAATTAGGAATAAAAAAATCCAGAATTAAGATTGCAGTATTTAGTAACAAGTTGACGAGAAATTGAGACACACAATAAGCACAAGAAATCCAGTTCACGATAAGTACCACTAAACAATTAACGATACGGGTATTATAGTCATTTTCATTTTATTTTTTTGCTGTACTATACGGGAGTATTGAGTTTGCAATCAACTTCCAAGAACTCGAGAAACTGAAAACTATAGGCTATTACGGAACCACGTGAAAGTAGACTTGCAATCATCCTTTCACATGTATGCATTACGATGATAGAAGATAGGATGACCATGCGTAAAGAATTGCAGTTGCAACTAATGAATGCTACCCTTGAAAGTTGGGGTATATTTGTAATTAACCAAGAAGTAACCGTAAATTGAACAAGTAGAACTTACTCAGGGTCACGCGCTTTGCATGAATAGCACACAGCATTGCCTCTCCAAACAACTCGACTATGTAATCCTCAGCAGCCTAGAACGGCAATCGGAAAGGAAAAAAAAACGGTAACAATAGTGAGATTCGGCAAAATTAAAACACGAAACATTCTTATTCGTGATTTTCTTGATCAGAATACCATGGAAATAATATGTTTTGAGGATCAAGCAAATAATATATAATGCAGATTATGTGAACACAAAAGCTGGGCAAAGCCTTAGAATGGAAAATTGGATAGACAATCGACATGCAAGAAAGTGATAATTAGGCGACAGAAGGGAGTCCGAGAGAAGTGGTCCCCTAATTTGGGTGAGGGTATTAGCCATGAAATGGTGTAATTACCAGGAACGAACAACGCAAATATTAATTATTTGGTGGGAAATTAAACAAATCGTCAGATTTCATGTGTGTTATGCTGAATAGTTCTTCCACAGGAACAACTGGTTCAAAGCATGCGCATTCACATCTAAAATGCAAAGACGTAAGTATACAATAGGGTTCGACTAGATAATTAAACGTTTATGCTCGAACGTTCTCTAACACAAAAGAGGAGATGTATTGTATACCTCCTGAAGGGCAACTAAGGCTTCTGCTTGCCATCGTGTAATGTTTGGGGCATAGGCGAAGCTAATCTCTCTCACCTGTTAAAACGGGAGAATACGTGGTTCAAAAAAGTTCTGGTAAATATTTAATTTTAACAGCAAATAAAAATCATGCTACTGAACACGACAATCACCGATGTTGTATATCGTTGTCCAATTAGAATAATAAGTGATATTTGGAAATATTACAGTTCTAATGAATGGAGCAGCAGGAATTAGAAGGTTCCAGGACTTCTGATATTTCCGAATCTCTCGTAAAGCCACAGTCCCCGGCTTATTGCGCCGCTTTTTCTGTGCTTTTTCATCACTCCTAGCTGAAAAAGGAAGAAAAACACACACACACACAAACAAACAAAAAAATCGATCGGCATTTCCTATAAGCTGAACTTAACTGAAAGTGTAATAGAAACGAAATTGAAACAAAAACCCAAAGAAGGAAGATGAATAATTGAGAAATGGGAAACTAACATGGTGTAGCAGTTGTGCCTGGGCTTCTTCTTCTTCCAGTCGACTGATAAACAAATTGAAAAGCTCAGATTACAGGAATTATAAATACTTAGAACTTGTAAAACCATGATTATTCGATCGTACCTGAGGCTGATGAGTTGAAGCTGAAGGATTATCTCCTGCAGTTCAGATTTCAAATCAATTTGTTAGGGTTCCAAAAATACAGAAAGAGGGAAATAAATTAGAACAGAAAATTACGTAGTGGAGAATAGTTCTCACCGGAGGATTTCTTGCGAGGGCCTTTTCGGGCCGGTTGTTTGATTCTCGCCATGAATTTTTGTTTAGAGGTTTCTTCTGGTGCTGAGAAATGAGAATTTTGTTTTTATGGGGAAAATGTTTCCCGCTTCGCTTTTGTTTTTGAATATTTATTTTTTCATTCAAATTGTTTTCTTTTTTTGGGAATATATATATATATTTTTTTTTCATTTTATAGGGAAATGGAATGCGAATGAAGTAGTAACGTATATAGTCAAATTGCCTCCAAAATACAAGAGTATAAGTAGTACAATCATCATCGTAGTCAAAAGGGTGTGTCGATGAGATTTCAGTTCGTTGGTACGACGAGAGGTGTGAGAGATAAGATGGTCGGATTTTAAGATTAGAAAGGAGGCGGAATTGAAATACCTCGAATGAGTGGTCAGGATGAAAGATTTGAGAGTCAATGATCAAGATCAAAAAACTTCATCAAACGGGTTTTGTACTATTTGAACGAAACGTGTTAAACCACCTTAAGTGAAGATCGGGTTAGGGCATCTCCAAGGTTGAGAGGTAAATACATGGGTGTTATATCTATTATACCTCTTGAACAGTATTTTACCATCTCTGTTTTTACTTCTCTGTTCCAACCACATTATCTATATTTTAGCATTCTATTATATTTAATTATTTTTCAACTATTCCACTATAATAAATATTTGTAATTAGTTTATTGTATTTAGACTTTCCTTCTTCTCTACATTCTCCCGCCCTCTCAGCCTTAGATTTTTCTTTTTCTCCCTCCAAATTTTAATTCCTTTTTTTTTTTGGTCTGTTGCTATCATAAATTAAAATCTTGAACATTTTTTTCTCAAACAACTTCAGAAATTCAATGGCTCAATTATTTAACATTTTTTTGCATAATCCCCAAGATTTTGATGATGATGATATAAATTTTCCTGCCATAGCTGTCGTTGCCCTAGAAGCTGAAGAAAATGCTATACAACAGCAACAATTACGACGACATGGGTCTGTTCCTGGTCATTCTACAATTCACCGTGATAGAAAAAGTGGCCACGAGAGATTATGGAATGATTATTTTACCGCTGAACCTGTGTATCCTGACTATTTATTTCGTAGAAGATTTCGTATGACTCGTAATTTATTTATCCGAATCCAATCTGCGGTTGAAGCTCATGATAGCTACTTTGTGCAAAAAAAAAAATGCTTGTGGAAATCCCGGCTTGTCCTCTCTTCAAAAGATAACGGCTGCTATGCGAATGCTTGCTTATGGAGCTTCAGCAGATTCAGTAGACGACTATGTACGTATTGGAGAAAGTACGTCCATAGAGAGTCTCAAAAGGTTTGTATTAGCCGTTATTGCAATTTTTTCTGAAGAATATAGAAGGTCACCAACAGATAATGATGTTACACGATTGTTGGCGGTTGGCGAAAATCGTGGATTTCCTGGGATGTTGGGAAGTATAGATTGTATGCATTGGGAATGGAAAAATTGTCCTACTGCTTGGCAAGGGATGTATACCGGGCATATCCATGAGCAATTATTCTTGAAGCAGTGGCTTCATATGATATTTGGATATGGCATTCATTCTTTGGGTTGCCAGGAGCACTTAATGATATTAACGTTTTAGATCGATCTCCTATATTTCGTGAATTAGTTGCGGGGCACGCTCCTCCCGTTAACTACTCAATTAATGAACACAATTATGAAATGGGATACTACTTAGCTGATGGAATATATCCAACATGGGCAACGTTTGTGAAAACAATTCCATGTCCTCGAGATAATAAGCAAAAATTGTTTGCGACATCTCAAGAGTTAGCAAGGAAAGATGTGGAGCGAACTTTTGGAGTTCTGCAATCACGTTGGGCTATAGTGCGAGGGCCTGCCCGATTCTGGGATAGGAAAACTCTTGCAAATATTATGGAGGCGTATATAATAATGCACAATATGATTATTGAAGATGAAACAGATTCTTACAATGTTGAAGATGATTTTGATTCACGTTTAAAACTTGTGTTATCACGGGATCAAACACCAGAGGTTATGGAGTTTCTTGAAATTCATAGTCGTATCAGAAATAAACAAACTCATTGTCAAATCCAATCAGACCTCGTTCAACATTTGTGGCAAAAATATGGAGGAGAATAAATTATTTCTCTTTCTTATTATGTTTTTTTTTCTAAATTAGTATGTTGCAGTAGTTAATTAATAGTAGTATTATTATTTTCTTTATTGTTATTATAACTTTTGTCTTGTTTTGATGTTTGATTCTAGTGCAGTAGTATATTTAATTTCATTACAGTAGTTGTCTTCAATGGTGATACTCAAATTTTATTCTATATTATATATATATATAAAAGTCCATACAAACAACAAAATTATATGGATCATCATACATACATATCAAACTAGAAATTCATATACTATTTTTTAGCAATATTTTTTCTTGAAGCTTCTTGAAATATGATGCTCTTGTATCATCCATGTCACTAGTATCTGTCATCATTATCATGTCTTCTCTCTTTTTATTCTCAAGTTCAATGTATTCTTCCTGAGTACGTATCTGCTTTTCCGACCTTTCTCGTTTTCTACATTCGTTGTCTGCATACTCATTTTTCCACGACTCTAGAATCGCCGCAGCACTCGAGTCTGGAACATTTTCTTTGTCTTTTTTCTTTTTAAGCTTTTCCTTTGCACCTTTAATACCGGTTGACCTCTCAAATTCATTGTTTTCAAAGTTATCATCACCGAAATTAACGCTATCAGGAGTCGCAGAAGATGAACTAGCAGGACTTGCACCAATGTGGTTTTTTTATGATTTATTGGAACGCTGACTTGAACTAGAAGATGTCCATCTTAGTTCATTTTTTAATCATTCCAACAATGAAGAAACTGGAAATTTCTCTTCGTGGATAACTTGAACAATTCTTTTGCTTTCAATATCTGTACAATGATGAAAACTCATTATTATCCCATAAAATTATATCATTATAATTTGTACATGAACAAAAGTTAAATGTTATACCTATCCTGTTCGGTTAGACCGCTCTCCTGTTTTTGTTGAACTTGAGCGTAACATCCAACGAATTCGGTAACGTCCTTGTTGATTAAGCCCGAACGACTCGAAATAGAAATTTGAGTTCGATCATAGTTTGTGTCACGCAAAAAATATTCATGGACTCTCTTCCAAAATGCATCTTGTTTTTGTTGGTTTCCAATGATTGGATCTTGTGAAACATTTAGGTAACCAGATATGAGTAGAAAATCTTCATCAGTTGAGAAGTTCTGTTGACGACCACGTTTTGTATTTTTATTTTCATTTTCCTCCGCGACTTGTGATTGCTCACATGTTTCAGTACCAAAATTGCTGGGAAATATTTGTTCAGAAAATTCATCTTCATCCAATAACATATGTGTAGATAATCGTCTATTTCCTGAAGCCATCTACACATATATACTAAAATATATAAATCAATTAATAAATTAAATAATATAAATCAAACATTAAAGCAAACATACAAAAACTTTGCTGCTTCACGTGCAACACACTACAACCTAATTTCCACTACAACCTAATTTTATATGTCGTTTTGCCCCCATTTTATTTTTCTCTGGCTTTTAAATTGAAGAAAAACAGAGCAAATAAAATACATCAACTAAAACACCAACAAAAAGATGTGGAGTTTGCCTGAATATTACCAGGAAAAAGGACAACGGCGTGAAAGCAATCAAAGTCAATAGAGATGGAAACTTCAGCAATGGAGAAATAAACCTGAATGTTTTTTTGATTTTTTTTTGTATTTGATTGTTACTTTTGGCTTGAAGATTTTTTTGATTGTGTTTTTAATCGATAAATTATTTCATTTTTTATAGAAAAAATCTTCAACTACCCAATTTAATTTTTACAGTTGGGAAATTTGTAATTAATCTTTTTACTGTTCATGATTATTTTAATATTTTTTCATTTAGCTTCTATGAACAGTAGGTGGTATATATATCTGTTCGAGATTTAATTTTAGCACATGAGGTAAAGTTTACCTCTCCCGTTGGAGTTGGGATTTTTTGGAAAAATGGTATATTTTCCCTTTTTTAGCATATAGCAGGCCTTTTTTTTTCTTTGGTTGGAGATGCTCTTAATATGGAGAGTTCTTGATTAATTCATTTTGAACCCAAAATCCAACAGTTTACATACATATTTCAAAATCAAAGATCAAATTTAAGATAAATACTTGGATATTTGAATAGCTTTTGTTATCATGCATGTACCAATCACATCTCATGTTACATTGAGGGAACCAATTAAAACAATCATTATTACATACAAAGAATGAGATCCCAAAAACTAGAAACAATCTAGGAATACCACAAACATACTTTCTCTTGCATATAGATATACTTATATAGTCTCTCAAAAACCTCGTAGTACGAAAAGATCATAGATTGTACGTACGCGTAAGCATGCAATCAAGATCCTACGGCTGTGATGGTATAGGTGACGATGGAGGCTTGAGATCCGGATACTGCAAATCAAGAAATAAGAGATTTTAAAAAAATTAAAATAAATAAATAAATTGAGATTACCAGAAGAATTTACGTTGGTATATGGAGATTGTGGCCTTGGAAATGCAGGAATAGATTCTTTTACAGGTTCTTCTGCTTTGGGGACAGAGTTGACTTCTGGAACTGCTTCGGGGACAGAGTTGACTTCTGGAACTGCTTCTTCGACTTTCAGTGGATCGATTTTTGCTTCGGGAATAGGCTCGGGTTTTTGAGGAGGGCTTTCAATCGGAGTAGGGGCAGGAAGAGCTTTGCTAGTAACAGGTGTTGGTAGAAGAGCCTTTCCAATTTGCTGGATATATAATTAAATTAATTCAGAAAAAAAAAAATCATAGCAAATTAACCGTTATAAATGAAAAATAGGGATTAATCGTTCGATTTTTCAAGATTTTAACTTTATTATTGTTACCTGAATATCACCCACAAGCTCTTTGGCAGCAACTTTCGTGTTCAATACCTCTTCAAGCTGTTGTATTGTTTGCTTTCTATCCTGTTAAGGCAAAAACGAATGTTGGAACGTATATTTTAATAAGGTTGTTAATGTCGAGAATTTTGAAGAAAAAAAAAATAATTGGAGAGTGTAATAATAACATGGAAAAAGCAATAACAAACCTCAGCAAATAGGAGTTTCTTGCTTACAAACTGAACGAGAGCAGCCGAACCTAAAACTTGGAGAATTGTTTCTACCTGAAAATAATCGATTTTTCTTTTCAAGTAATCCTTAATTGGTCCAAAACACACATAAATCTCGATTCTGTTACCTCTGTAAAAGCTAATAATCCAAGACCAGCAGCAGCAGCAACACCAAGTGTTAGAGACGCGAAATCAGAAACCTCCTACAAATCCAGCTCAGAGAAGAATTTATATTTTATATTTTTGTAAAAATATATAATATACACTGATTTTCATGAATATAGCAGTTTGAATATTTAGTTACCTAAATCAATATCCTAAATTAAACTATTGGATGCTTACCCCGAAACCATCGGTCAAGTTACTCAGGTCAAAGCTGAACCCCTTCTTCGGAAGTATCCAAGGAAGGCCACTGCTCTGCATAAGTTTTCATCTATTAGTAAGCCTCGAACGAGCATTGACTGCCGTCGAGCTACAAATTTCTTTTTATTATTTTTTTTTTTATTTTAAAAGGACAAGTAAAGAAAAATAAAAGGAGGGCAGCAACTAACCTTCCATCCTCTAGAACCTTCCACACCGTCTTTGATTGCGTAAGCGGCTTTAAAGCCGTTGGCGGTTGCCAGCTCAGCAACAAGTTCAGAGTTTCCATCAAATCTGGCTTCATCGCAATTCACAGACATCACACTTGGCTCTATATAAATTCATTGATAATTTACAAGGAGAACGAAAAGATTCTCTAAAGTGACAACTAATTTAAAACGGAGGGAGTATATCCAAAATATACAAACCCCCCCATGAATCAAAGCAATACAGATCAATTCCTACATTCTAGGAACAACAAACACAACCTCAAAGAATTAATTTGCATAGTATTTAGATTCCCTACCGCATATTTATAGAAAGAAAGACTGATTGTTTGCAGTGTAATGAAAACCGAAGTAATTGCGAATAAACGAAAAAAAAAGAAAAACAGGGTTCAGAATCATACTTGTCTAGTATGAACAATGTGGTATTTTCTGGTTCCTTAAACTTCAGAGACAACTTATTCAAGAACCCCGGTTTATCTTCACCTTGGTACACAATTGCCGCCGCTTTCTTCTTCGATGCTCGAATATCCGGGCTCCCTTCTTGCTTTATTTCCGAAATCGCCCTTATATCGACCAATTGAGCATCGGCATCTTCAGCCAATTTCGCGTAGGCGTTCTTGGCTGTCTCCACACCCCAAGCCTTAGGCTTGCCGCCGCCGAGAAGCTGAGAGACGAGCAGCGGCACCGCCAGAACCGCCAATCCGCCGCCGATAATTATCGGATTTTCAGTTGCAAAGTTGATGACGTCATCAAGAACTCCGGCGACGTCAAAATCTGAGGTGGAGCTGGTGGAGGTGGTCACTGATTGCTGAAGGGCTTCTTCATATGTTAAGGCTTTGGCCAATTCGGAGCTTAGTACTGAAGGGAGGAGGACTATGCTTCCTTGTATGGTTCTTGAAACAGAGGAATTTCCGAAATTGGATAATGTTTGATTCTTGAATTGCGAAATTGTCGGAAGTGATAATGTTTTTCTGGGCTCTGTTCTTTTTGACAGAACTGAGAGAGGAGTCAACCCAACTGCATTGATGGCCTCCATTTTCAACTGATTTGTTCTCTTCAGTTGTGTTTTTTTCTTAAGATCTGAACACCATGTGAGAGAAAGTTGAAGATATGCTGAAGCTAGAATTGTTGTTGTAGTTGTAGTTGTTTTCACTTCAATGGTTGGAATTTGGCTCTGGAGTGGGGGGTAGTGGCTGACGTGGAAGGAAGATGAGAGATCTAGCGTGTAGTTGAAGGACACGTGTCATGATGGCTGATTTTTTTGTAAGAGATTGATCCACTTTTTGGGTTTTTATGATTATGTGGCTGAGATTTCTTTGGTTGTTGCAGTACTGTACACTGACTGGTTATGTACAAGCATAATTGAGTTCTAGAGAACGGTAGTACATGACATGGCCAAAAATTGGAACCATAGTACATGAAATAATGAAATAGTGAAAAATAAATTTACTGCGAAAACTCAAAATAAATTTATGAGCAATGCACTGTTAAAAAGTTATCTGAGATATTCGTAAGAGAGAGTATATCACAAAATATCGAAGAAATATTCGAGACCTTGACCGATTTCCCAGATTGAGATTCCAGCTGTCCAAGAAAGAGCTTCATCAAGCCTCGTTGCGATTGACATCAGTGATGGGTAGAATACTACGTGTTTAATATTCTGATTATCGATGTACAAGAAGTAATGTTCGGCACTGTTCTTCTCCCAATGCATTTGTGGCTTGTGCTGCTCCAACAAAGACAAATACTCCCTTCCGATTATTGGTCCACCACCTAAACCTGAAATCGAATGATTTTAGTATAATCTTCAAGCTGTATAAAATGGAATGAAATCCTAGCTAGGGGTGAAAATCGGTTGGATCGGATCGGAATTGGTACTTCCAGAAAAATTCCAATTTTTTCGGAAGTGGAAAACTAATTCCAATTCTGTTCCAAAATATTTCGGGAAAACCGGAAATCGGAATTTTTCGAACTGGAATCAGCGGAAATTTCAGAAAAAATCGGAGTTTTTGGAAATCTATATTAAAATCGATTTAGGATCGGAAATCAGAATCTAATATGTATTCCAATTCCGTTCCACAAAAAATCGGAAAAATCAGAAATCAGAATGAAAATTTTGATCCAAAATCGGAAGTTTTCGGATCGGAAACGGCGGAACTTGGAATTTCCATTCCAATTCCACCCCTAATTCCAGCCAAATCAAACAAAATAGATTGCAAACATTGTCATAGGACAAAGAAAAAGGACTGCCTTTTTTCTTCTTCATTTGTTTACTTGAAAATGTACTAGAAATTGCATTAGGAAGTGTATTATGAGAATTTTATTTATTTATTTATTACAATTGCAAAATCGTACTTACCTCCAGAGACAACAAAATCGTTCCCGTAAAAATTGATGCCAACGAAAATCTTTTTGGCCAATTTCGGGTTATAACCATTGCTGGAATCGAGGAGAAGCTGCAAGGTTGAGTGGATCCATTTTAAAGGAGCATTTGGGCCTGGATTTTGAGGGCCTGAGAAGTCGTAAGTCATAAGAGAGAATCCGTCCACGTCATCACCCAATACCCGAAGGTCATCTGGCCCAAAATCATATTCCTCAAATTTGTCTGAGCGAGGTGGACCTATAACATACACTAACTGCAAACTCTGGCTTATGTTCTGCTCCAACCTTATGGCATGCATGGCTTGTCCTAGCTGGACGATAAATTGCAGAGCCTGGACTTGAAAAATAAAATTGATTCCGTCAACAATATATAGATGCTATTGCCCTATCACAATAAATTTATCTAGATAGTTGGATGAAGAATGCATGAAAAACTAACATATAGTGACATATACACCATTACAAAAACAAAAAGAACAAAAAAAAAAAAAAAAACCTAAGAGATTCAAATAAACGAACATTTTACCTTATCCCGCATGTCTGGATCGTGTAAAACTCCATAGGATGCCCATCTTGACCATGATTCCAGCACGATACCATCATATCCCATTTCCCTTTGAATGAGAGAAGCACCTTGACAATTTTAAGACATGACCGTATTCACATTAAGACAAGGGAATAGGAAAAGACAAGGGTCTTACTTGCATTCTTCTATGATGAGATTAATGGCTCTTTCCCTTTGTTTTTTCTTTTTCAGCAGATCCACAGGAATTGATTCCAAAACTACCCTCGGCAAAATCTGTTCATCAAAACATGTAAGAGAAAAAACAAATCAGTGTTATGAATCAACTATCTAAGTATTTGTAGTTATGCATTGTTTACCGAACCAGTTGATATGCATGAAATTACAATAGTTAAGATACCTCATGTAGTGAGGGTTTTTTTTTTAACCTCGTGTAGTAATTTTTGTTTCAACTTCAGATATACGAACATGGAACTAAAGTTACATAAACGCATATACATAACAGATTTTGAGGAACCGATAAATAAAAGCAACAAAAAACCTGAGAATTTCCATTCCTTCTGATCTCTGAAATCCATCCTTTATCCGCATTGTGTCTCCCATTCAAAACAAGCTTTGTCCCTTCGCTGGCAGGACCAGACATAACTAAGGTTAGTGCAAATTAGCAAACTGAAGAAACGTAGAACACACTGCATTCAAAACAAAAGAGAAAACTTAAAGTCTAACAAGAAAAACAATCTTTACGAGAAGGGCTTGTCAAGTGCACATACCTCTTGAGTTCATACCAAACAGGCGAAAGATGAGTGAACTTATTAGTGAACTTCTTAGCCATGTCATACCCTTGCGAATTCCTGCAAAGTATTCGAGCAGTGGCATTCATTTATAAAGTCTCGAGCTTATGAACAATGTGAACCGTTATTTGTGAGGAAGTTAAAAATAAAAACTTCGATCGGACAAAACGAACTAGCACTAGCTCACCATGAAAAACATGCCTGAAAACTGTCGATCTCCAATAGAATTAAACAACCAACTAAATATTTCCTGACAGCTTTTACGAAAAATAATAAAGCCTACTTCCAAAATTACCAAAAAACAATTATATAAATCCACAGCTAATGATAATCTTTAACCATATGAACTATCATAGTTTACAGAGAAACTGTATTACAGTGTGAAAAAGTAAATACCATGGGGTAATGTAGGCCAGAACAGGGTTGTTAAAATTCCTCCGACTCGAGTTTTCCGAAGTCCTCAAATTCTCCTGAAATTTGTTCAAAATAATTACAAACCATCACCAATGAAGAAACCAAAAACAACTAAGCAAAAAACCAAACAACTTTTTTTTATGAAAGGGGGGTAAATTAGCTCACATCGAGAACTTGCCGGTAGTTAATTTCTTCTTTGACGAGGCCTCGGCTGTACACGTACGTCAATTGGGGAGTATTCGAAAAGTATAGAATGTAAATCATACGGTATACTATTACAAAAATGGCAGGTAATGCAGCGACGGATAATATCACGGAGGTTTTGGCGATGGTGGTTCCGAGCTTGCGATCTGGTTTAGGTTTCGATCCTGATGACTCGCCGATGGTGGATCTCTGAGTCGACTCGGGTCGGCGTTCACGCTTTTTCGCCATCTCCGCCGGTTCAATCTCGCAGCCACGTGGCAGTCCCCGTTGCACTTCCGGCTTCGCTTTCTCTGTAGTGTACTTCTGAAAGTGTCGTGTTTTACTAAAGTCGCTGTAGTTGGTGTTACGATTTTTCATAAAGCGTTGTTGTAGATTTGGGCCTACGGTTATGGGCTTTCATATAAGAAATGTTCGTATATCTAATATTCTTAGCCGGGCCTTGGGCCTAAAAGAAATGTTTCATATTTTTAGGAAATATATTAATATATAATTTTCATTTTTCTCAAGTATTCTTTTATTAAAAGGTCTCACTAAATTTGGTTAAAATTATATTATGTTAAAACAAAATCATATGCAATGAAAATAGGATATAATTAGCACTTTCGGAAAAAAAAATACATCGTATTTTTCAAGAATGAAAAACTAATTCAAATTCAGTTCCTGCCAATTTTGAAAAAAATCGGTTAATTTTTTTTCCAAAAGTAAAAAACTATTTTCAATTCAGTTCATTCGCTGAAATATGAATTGTAAAAACAGTCTCCTTGTATGTATGTAAAAACTAATTTCGATAATTTTAATGAAAAAAATTGTGTCAAAATCGAAATATTTTTCAAATCGGAATCTATATATAATATAAAAAGAGGATCTATGCCCTCAATGATTGACATGTGGCAAATGATGATGTCATTTGTCAAAATTGCTTAGTTGGAGTTCAATTGATGAGGTGGATTCTTCAATTGATTAGGTGTCATTTTTATTTATGGATGCTTTTAAGTTCTTTCCTATTTTACATTTACACAATCATTTAATAATTACCACATGTATATATATTATTTCCAAACTTAATATTTTATAAATTCGAAATAAAAAAATCTTATTTATATTTTCAGTATTTCAAAATATATTTATTGAAAAAAATTCATGAAACTCAATTTTTTTACGAATATTCAAATAATTTTCATAAAAAAATATTTTTTTAAAATACTAAAATATTAAAATAAAGGAATACAATTGTTTTTTTTTTTATTTTCAATATTTTGGAATATTCAAATATCCTTTCAATAAAAAAAATTGGGATATTTGTATAAAATGAATATATTAATAAATTAATATATATAAAAACTAATATATATATATATATATATATATATATATATATATATATATATATATATATATATTGATTAATATATTAATTAATAATTCAAATTAATATATTAATAAATTAATTTATCAATATACATGGAAATAATTATATATAAACTATATCATTGATTGATATAGACTGTATCAATCATATTAATTTGAATTTATTTTTTTTTCCTTTTGCACATATAATATATTTATGGACTTAGATGTTTAAAATTTTAAATTTAATTAATTTGTTGTTTAATATATTATGAAATTTATATTTTTATTATTGTAATACGAAAAAAAATAGTGTGTGTATTTCATATATTTTAATTTTTATTAAAATTCGGATATGCATTTATTATCTAAATCATTTATATATACATATCATCAATATCATATCTATTATATATTAATAACTTATGGAAATAATATCACCATAATTAATTTTAATTTATGTAAAGTTTGACTTTCAATTATTAAATTATTAATAAGTAATTTGAATTTGCATCAAATAAAATCAATTACCGGATTTGTTGTCAATCATGTCTATTTTTTATTTTAGAAATCAATTTACATTTATTTTAATTATGTCCAATTATGGTGAAATATATATGTATACATGTTTTAGTATATATGCATTTATATATACATTAACTAATATAAACAATATATGATTTTCTTTAAAATCGTTTTTTTTACTTTATTTAGGTGTGTGAAAATTAAGTATAAATACCCTCCAATCTCAACTCCAACTCATTTCTC